CCCCAAAACCCCAAAACCCCAAAACCCCAAAACCCCTCTGCTTTTAGGATATATTGAAAATTATATAGCAACGCGAGGGAGAACCTCCATTGCAGGCGGCTTATGAGACTGTATTACTTCTTCCTCTTCAATGTCTAGGATTGGGACTTGGTTTTTAATCATCCCAATCTTCTTCAACCGCTCAATTTCAGGAGATAAATTTAAGTCAAAATATGGAAGAGATATTGCATTATCAATTTGGACCATAAATAAATGATCGCCGATCATCTCCTCCGGAGGAATGTTGGGTTGCTCATGTCCATCACCTGGAATCTCGACTTGATCATAATACCTGATCGACTCAATAAGATCGTAGACTTGTTCTCCAAAAAGTGCAATATCTAAGTTTCCTTTCATGCTAATGTCTTGATACTTTTTCAAATTTTCATTGAAATTTTTGAGATCGGCCATTTTCCCATCAAGGATTTTCAAGTCAAGATTAAGTCTATTTCTCCAAAATTCCTATGGATAAGTCGAGTTGGACTCTAAGAGTTTCCTCTCTTTTATCAAGGACCATCCGAATGTACTCAAAATACCCTCTGATTCTTTGTTGTTCGTCCTTTTTAATTTCTTGTAGATAGTCATACATACTCTGAGTTTCGGTCCTTAAAGATGATTTTGCTCGAATTTTTCCTTCACAAGTTGAGAGAGCTTCCATAATATGAACAGCGACTTCGTTAAAATTCCGAAGACTTCAGGTTGAGGTCATCTATCCTCACAAAGTTGTCATCAGCATGCTTATTAATTCACTCTACTCATATAGGCACCTTACAATCCCTACAGAAGAACTTATAGACGCTACTAGGATGTATAGCTCATTGTTTACCAGGATTTGACTTTTTATCTACGCTTAGTGCGCTTTTTGGGTTACCTTTCCCAATAAGTTCATTAATGTTATCAAATTTTTCCATTTTCTGATTGAAGGTAGCAATCTGACTTTGGATATCATCAAAATAACTCAGGGCCTCATTTCTAGAAGTGTCCTGTTGCTTTTCAGTTTGAACCTCTTCCTGCATCTGAGTGGCAATTTCTTCCTGCTTGTCAACAGGTGCTTCATCCAGCATTTTAACATTTGAGGGCAAGTCAGGAGTCGACCTGAAATTTTCATTCATTGTTGGAAACTCTAACTTCTTTTCTTCTGAAGGCTTCTTGTTGAAGATAGGATTTGAAGGAGTTTTAGGGACAGGAGGACGAATATTCAGCTCTGTAGCTTGGGCTTTAACTTCAGGATTCATTATAAAATCACTGGTATTTAGCTCCTTATTTAGGTTCTTTCATATTTAGTTTCTCCTCCAATATTTTATCTTGATTCTCTTCAACATTTGTAGCATTCAGGGCTGATTTCTCCATTCTCGATTTATTACCTCTTCTTTTAATCTTTTTCCTCTGTCTTTTTGCTGGAAGAGGACTTTTGATTTGAGGAGTTTCTTGATTTGTACTTTTCCTACCCGATTTACTATCTTTATCAGATACTAGCCGTATCTCCTGCTCTCTTTGTTTTTCTGGCTCTTGGGTTTCCTTTTCCTTGGGTTTAACTTCTTTTTGATTCTCTTGTTGAACGATGTTATTAATATTTGCAGCAAGGGAAGTTCCTCCTGCTACTCTGATTGGCATTGGAGGAGGATAATTATTTTCTTCGTCTTTTACTAGATCGAGGTCTAAGTTGTTCCCTAAACGTTTCTCAGGAGAGTCTATTTTATTCTCCTTCTGGTCAGCCTCTTCTTGATGGCTCTTGGTGTTATTTAATGTATCTGGAACAGGTGGTTTGATCATAGTCAGATTTCCCATTTCAGGTTTCTTATTTACGAATCTTTTTTACTTTTCTTATTCTTCTTTTCTTTGTGGTATTAAGTTTACTGTTAGCTAAGCTTTCGTTCAGACTACTGACTTGTGAGTCACTACTAAACATGGATGACTCCTAGAGATGAAGAGGAAGGTTACATTCATTGATAATTTAGTTTTATTAACCTTTTTCCATTTTAATTTTCGCACTTTTCTCTTTTTCTTTTTCTTCTCTGGTTGTTCAACGGGTTCTAAAATATTCTTCGAACCTGACGGCTTCAACAAGATTTGTTCAAGATTTTTCGGAGACTCTGGTGGCTTTGGAGATGAAGGAGTCTCTGATAGAGGAGGAAGCCTAGGAGCTACACATTAATTTATTATACTTTACGATCTAATTTTGATAGATCAGGCCGTTGTTGTGATTCAGTCCTTCTTTTGCTATAATCATTATTGTCATTAGTTAATCAAATTGGTGTAATTTTTCATAAAAATCTTGAATTTAAAGATTTCTTATTTATCTTAATTCATTTCACAATGAATTATTAAGCGTACCTTAATTCCTGCATCTTCTGAGCAACATTAGAATGAAGTGTGATTTCTGCCATTTATTGAAACTTTCAAATATTATATATATTGAGGGGTTTTGGGGTTTTGGGGTTTTGGGG